ACAGCCCCAGACTCAGTCTTGCCTTGGGACTTTCTTGTGAGAGACGGAGGGATACCACATAGGGCAGGCGAGTGTGGGGCACACACAAGGACCACCTTGAATGCGCGGCTCAGGGGCAGGGGCTGAGGGCCCTGAGACCTGATATTGCAATGCCAAGCCTCCTGGGAACACTGCTATATCAGGCAATGCAGGTTGTCAACTATGGGAGGTGCCGTTCACTCTGAGTGTGACTAAACAGCGCCCCCAGAGATGAGCAGTACACAACATTGACAACCTTATAAGGCAGCTCTGGCCAAGCTGGTAATGCACATGAGTGAATAGGACATATCTGCAGATTGACTCCATATAAATATTCTTCACTTCCTACAAACTAAAACTCATGGCCCCTTGATTTACTTTCTATTTTTCAATTTTTTTTAAGCTGAGCCATCCTGCCACCATTTGGCAGCTCAGCGGCTGCTCAACTTGGGCCGGGAATTGAACTGCTGTTGCTCAGAGCTCAAACTCTTGAGCAAGCTCTTAACCAACTGAGCCACTCGGCCGGCCCTCTATTTTTCAATTTTTGATAGAGACACGGTACCAAAAGCCATGTTGCCACCATAAGAAGAGCAACAGTGTAAAGGCCTTTAGAAATGAAAATAGTATCTTGGCTTCAGTGTCAGGTGGCAATAAGGAGTGGTGGGGACTGTGGTGAAATGGTGAGCCCATGCACTGTAAAGGGTGGCTGCTACTTAGCTCCAGAGGATTGGGGCTATGTGGGAAAGAGTTTAGCCATTTCAGTAGCTTAATCTCTTTGTGTCTCATTTTCCTCATCTGAAAATGGGGATAACAGTAGAAACTTCTGCAAATGGTCATTGTGAGGATGAGCTCATATAAGTCCAGCACTTAAAGCCATACCTGGCTGTATGTGTTCCTGTGATGACTTCATCTCCATCCATTGGGGTCTTGGTCCATGTCCACAGGCTACAGTACATTCTATTTATTTATTTATTTTTTTAGCTGAGCCATCCTGCCACCTGTTGGCAGCTCAGCAGCAGCTCAGCTCGGGCCGGGACTCGAACCGCTGTTGCTCAGAGGTTGCACTCTTGAGCGAGCTTTTAACCAACTGAGCCACTCGGCCAGCCCAAGATACATGCTTTAATCTAATGGATCGATAAAAAGTAATAGCACATAATGGTTGCGGTATGCAAGGCCCTTTCATCTATATTATCTCATTTAATTTAATCCTCACAATCATCCTGGGGTTCTTGGCCCTAAGTTACTGATGAAGAAACTGAGGGCCGGCCGAGTGGCTCAGTTGGTTAAGAGCTCGCTCAAGAGTTTGAGCTCTGAGCAATAGCGGTTTGATGCTCGACCTGATCTGAGCTGCCACTGAGCTGCCAATAGGTGGCAGGATGGCTCAGCTAAAAAAACCAAAAAAAACAAACAGATGAAGAAACTGAGGCACAGAGGGGTTAAGTGCCTTGCCCAGGGTCACACAGCCTGGAGGTGGCCAAGGCTGGAGGCATGGTGTTCCCAGCCCAGTGCTCGGGACCTGCACTGAGTGGGCTGGAAAAGTGTTCTTTAGGAGTGGAAGAGTTGCTGCTACAACAAAGCATCTCTTGTGAGGGGATGTGCTGGTGATGTTTTAGGTGAACATGGTTTTGTTCTTTCTGGGTGAGTTTCCTCCCTAAAGGGAAGGGGCTACAGGCAAAGATGGGAGGGACACCCCTCAGAAGACTATAGAACTCTGCTCCATGAATTTAGTTCTCCAAGAAGGAAACCACATTTCCTGAGCACCCACACTGTCAGAATACTCAAACCTTTGTGTTTCTAGCCCCCAGCAAATTGCCAGGTCCAAATGCAGACCCGTTTTGACAGAGGAGGAGGCTGAGGTTCAGAGAGCAAGGAGCCACTTGCCCAGAGGCACTCACAGATGGGAGACCCAGAATTTCCACTGCACTCCAATAGGGCAGACAAAGAACTCCTTGGCAGCGGTTTTTTTCCTTCTGCCTTCTGTTCTTTAGGACCCATCCTTCCAGGACTGAGTTCTCCTCCTTAGTCTAGCTCTCTGTGTGACTACAAGGAAGGCACTGCGATGGCTCCTGTGTGGTCCCCTCAGAGGGCACTGGGCAAATCGCAAGGTCCATGAAGCCTTCCTTCTCTTCCAAGGGCTTGTCTCCTTTATCCGATCTCTGCTGCATCCTTGATGCTCACAATGACTCTTCTAATCAAGGTTAAGCTCCTGAGGCTGTAAGAGGTACATGTGCGCTTTAAAAAATGAAGTCTTTTTCTATGAGTTTTTGTTTCTTCATTTGTTTGTCTTGTTCCTTTGTTGTTTTCAGGTTTATATACCACACATCAGTGAAATCATATGGTTCTCTACTTTTTCTGTCTGACTTATTTCACTTAGCATAATAATCTGAAGATCCATCCAAGTTGTTACAAATGGCATTATTTCATCTTTTCTTATGGCAGTTTAGCGGTTACCAGAAGATAAAGAAGGGGGTAGGAGGATGGTAGATGAGGGTAAATGGGATCAAATATATGGTGATGGAAGGAGAACTGACTCTGGGTGGTGAACACACAATGTGATGTATAGATGATGTATTATAGAATTGTAAACCTTAAATATATGTAACTTTGCTAACAGTTGTCATCCCAATAAACTTTAAAAAAAAATTGGAAGTCTTTATTGAGATGATTTTGGATTCATTTGTCATTGTAAGAAAGAACACAGAGCCTGTGAACCCTTGACCCAGTTTCCCGAATGGTGACATCTTGTAAAACTACAGTATGACATCACAACCAGGATATTGACATTGATGTTGTTTACCAGTCTTGTTCTAATGGCCCTTGTTTTATCTGTACCCATGTTGTGTGTGTGTGTGTGTGTGTGTGTGTGTGTGTATGTGTGTGTGCACACGCACGCCCACAAGCACGCTGTGTTTAGTCCTATGCAATTTTATCACCTGTGTAGGTTCATGTATTTGCCAATAGTTCTCACACCACCGGCTCCCTCCTGTTGCCTTTTCACATGGATTTCAATGAGGGGCTTTTGAAGATGGTCACCTCCTCAGCGCTGGGCCCTATGCTGGAGTCACCCACCCTGGCCTCTGGATTTGAGCTTTACAGTAGCCCTGGAAGTCGGCACGGGCATCGCGTTGTGGAGTCACTTTGCCCACCGTGGCTCAGCAGGCACTGGAGCTGGGCCAGCTTAGGACACATAACATCCATAGAGCTTTCCTTTTGCCTTAACCATCCCGTCATCATTATTATTAAAATAGTAATACATGTTTGTTTTAAAAAATCAAAACAGGGCAGAAGGGGATTACAATGAAAAGTATAAGACCTCTCCGTTTTTCTAGATTCCCCAAAGGGAACACCTGTTTTCCGATGTATTCCTCAAGTCATTCTCTATGTATTTCCAAGACTATATATGAATATTCTTTAAAAAAAATAGCACAGATTGACTCACACTAGACACCCTGTTAGCAATTCATTTTCATTTTTCTTTTAATTATTTTTTATTATGAAATACACATTTTTTAGAATTAGTTTCAGCTGTACAACACAGTGCAATAGTTACACTTTTTACCCCTGGAAGGGACAACCCTCCTCCCCCAATCCGCCGCCCTACTTTCATTTTCATTTAACAATGAATCTTGGATATCTCTCCATACCTCTACATATAGATCTTTTGTCATTTCCTTCCTTTTAAAATCTAAATGTATTTTGGAAGATAATACATTCATGTCATTTAAGATCCAAAAGAACACACAGTGAGAACTTTCTCCCACTACCCCCTCAGTTACGCTCTGTAGAGACAGCCGGCATTACCAGTTCCTGTGAGTCCTACAGCTTTCCCACATTCAAGTGTATATGTATATAAATACTCCCCTCCTTTTTTTCACTGAGATATAATTAACGTATAACATTATGTTAACATCAGGTGTACAACATAATGATATGATATTTGTGTACATTGTGAAATGATCACAGTAAGTCTAGTTAACTTCACCGCATGTAGTTGTAAAATTTCTGTCTTGTGATGAGAACTTTTAAGATCTACTTTCAGCAACTTTCAAATATGCAATCAATATTATTTTCTATAGTCACCATGCTGTATTAATATATTACATCCCCGTGGATTATTTATTTTGTAACTGGAAGTTTGTTCATGTTGACCACCTTCACCCATGTCCCCCATCTTCCAGCCCCTGCTTCTGGCAACCACCAATCTGCACTCTAGCTATGCACTTGGTTTGTTTGTTTTAGATTCCATACAAAAAATGAGAGCATACGGTATTATTTTTTTCTGCCTCATTTATTTCACTTAGCATAATTCCCTCAAGGTCCATCCATGTTGTTGCAAATGGCAGGGTTTCCTTTTGTAATAGCTAAATAATATTCCCCTTCCCCTCCTTATATCAGCATTCTACACCTTGATTTTTTTCCCTGAACAATGTCTCTTGGAGATCCACAGATAGTTTCTTCTTTTTCTTTTTTAGCTGTGCAGTATTCCATTGTAATATACGAGGTCTGACAATTAAGTTGGTGCACTTGTTGCAACAATGTTGCTAGCCTCTTTTAATATCAGAGGGATTATACGTTATGAATTTGTACCAACTGGACAAACAGTTAACCAAGTTTACTATTTGGAAGTGCTGAAAATGCTGCGTGAAAAAGTTAGATTACCTGAACTTTTTGCTAACAATTCAAGGCTCTTGCATCACGACAATGCATCAGCTCACGTGGCACTGTCTGTGAGGGAGTTCTTAGCCAGTAAACAAATAACTGTATTGGAACACCCTCCCTACTCACCTGATCTGGCCCCTAATGACTTCTTTCTTTACCCGAAGATAAAGGAAATACTGAGAGGAAGACATTTGGATGATATTCAGGACATCAAGGGTAATATAATGACAGCTCTGATGTCCATCCCAGAAAAAGAGTTCCAAAACTGCTTTGAAGGGTGGACTAGGCGCTGGCGTCGGTGCACAGCTTCCTAAGAGGAGTACTTCGAAGATGGATGTAGTGATATTCAGCAATGAGGTATGTATCACTTTTTCTAGGATGAGTTCACGAACTTAATTGTCAGACCTCGTATGTACCATAACTTATTTAAGCAGATTCTTATATCCATTTAGGCTGATTCCAGTTTTTCTATGTGTTATTATAGGAGATAAGAATCTTTAATGGTAGAATTCCAGGCACAGTGACAGGCACAGAAAAAACTTTTGGGGGCAGAGGTTTCCAGGTGCTCTTGGGAACATATGCGATGCGACTACCTGAAGTCAGGTATCCTGGAGGCACAGGAAGTCTCTCTGCCCAGTTGTCACAGAGACATGTGTGTCAATAAGTTTCCTATCCATGATATTTACAAGTTGGTGACTCAAAATGCTGTTCAATATTTTTCTTACTTCCTTTCTGCCCTTTACTTTTTCCAGCTTCTCCACCTTTCATCCTCCCACCCGATGACCAGAACCAAATCTGGGATGCTGTGAGGACTTCCAGGTGTCAATGAGTTGAAAAGGTTGCCCCAAACCAGGACTGTTAGAATTTAGGTTCCTTATTGGGTTTCTTTCTAGATAGATGGGAGCTGAGAAAAACTGGTTAAGACTTCCGATTTGAGATCTTATGATCAGGGACATGGTAAAAACTTTTCTGTTCTTCCTGGGGTGGTAGAGAGAGAGCCACAGTTCTGCTTTGACAGTTGATAGATTTGTGTGAACTTGGCAACAACTCAGGCCTGAAGAGACCAGCTGGGATCCAGCCTGGTATTGTGTTTACATTTTTGATTATTTTTGGTGGTGTGGGTCTTGAAAAGGGAAATCAAAAACCAACAATTTCACAGACATACCCTTAAAGCAGCCTATTTCGTCAAGCCAGGAAATATTTCACTGAAAGTTTTCCCTGGAATGTGACTCACATGTAGGGCCCTAGGAATGGTTTGAAGTTGGAGTGTGGGTTTTAAATGTATCGATTTTCCTGGATGCATGGCATAGGTGAACATAGCAAAACCTGATATTTGCATTTGGTTACTGCCCTTTGAGGATCCAACGATTAAAAGTGCCAGGTATGACATGTCCACTCAGACTTAGTGTGATGGATCATGACAAGCTTTCAGGGTAGCTCACGAAGGACCCCTAGCGACAGCATTGGGGCTGTGCCACCTCCACACCTGGGTTCACTGGGTTCGCCCATCCTGACAAAGGAAAGTCCACATAGATCCGCCTCTAGGACATCCCATCAGTGTCACCCCAGCCTCAGGGACGAAGGCCTCACTCCCATTCTCAACAGGCCTCCCTGCCGCTGTCCAGGCTGCTTCCAAGTGTTTCCTCAACTTCTCCCCACCCTCTAAACCTCCCCTTCCTTACACTTAGCTTTCCCCCCCCATTATTTCCTCAGGGGCCCCAAGTCTCCCCTCCATACTTCACTCATGTCCCCATCTGCCCCAGAGTGAGGAAGCTCCTGCAGGCTCTGCAAGCCTCGGGCCTCTCTCTTCCATCCCTCCCTGTGAGGTCTAGTTCTCTCTTTCACAGGCTCTTCCTCTCCCCTCGGGGAAGAAGGAGGTTGGAGGGAGGGTCCCCACCGATACTGCACATGGTGGGTCTCAAATTCAGACCTTCAGTATTCTCTCTAAAAGAGGTCAAACACCTAAAGAATGAAAAGACAAGCCACAGACTGAGAAAATCTTTGCAAAAGACTTATCTGAACAAAGAACTATTGTCTAAAATATACAAAGAACTCTTAAAACTCAACAATAAGAAAATAAGCAATCTAATTTAAAAATGGGCCAAAGTCTATTAAGTGATTTCTTTTAAAAACAAATTATATACAACATATTTTTGATTTGTGTTTTTAATACTGGTTACAATACTGTTACAATTAAGTAATCATAACAAGAATATAGATCATTTTACATGGTAAAACCTACTTTTTATGACAATTGTTTATAAACATTATGATGTCTTCATGATTGTGATCCATTACAATAATAAAGCCTAGGGCAACAGAACAAATTTCATGATGTCTTCCTACCACTTTAAAAGTTACTTTGACATCATTAACTGGTGTCACAGATAATTTTAATGAAGAAATTTCACAATAAAAGCAAAATTCTAAAAAAAAAAAAATGGGACAAAGACCTGAACAGACACCTCACCAATGAAGATATACAGATGGCAAATATGCATATGTAAAGATGTTCCGCATGATTTGTCATCAGGGAAATGCAAATTAAAACGAGCTACCACTACATATCTACTAGAATGGTCAAAATGCAGAATGCTGACAACACCAAGTGCTGGTGAGGATGTGGAGCATCAGGAACTCTCATTTATTGATGGTGGGAATGGAAAATGGTACAGCCACTTTGGAAGACAGTTTGGTTGTTTTTATAGAACTAAAAAACTCTTACCATATAATCCAGCAATCATGCTCCTTGGTATTTACCCAAAGGAGTTGAAAACTTGTGTACACAAAAACCTGCACACAGATGTTTATAACAGCTTTGTTCATAATTTCCAAAACTTGGAAGCAATCAAGATGTCCTTCAGTAGGTGAATGGATACATAAATGGTGATATATCCAGCCAATAAAATATTCAGAGCTAAAAAGAAATCAGCTCTCAAGCCATGAAAAGACATAGAGAAGACTTAAATGCATATTACTAAGTCAAATAAGCCAATCTGAAAGGACTCCATACTGTATGATTATAATTATATGACATCTAGAAAAGGTAAAAGTATGGAGATAATAAAATGATCAGTGGTTGCCAGGGGCTTAGGGAAGTAAAGAATGAATAGGTAGAACACAGGATTTTTAGGGAAATGAAATTATTCTGTATGATACTGTAATAGTGGATACATGTCATTATACATTAAGTCCTCACTTAATGTCATTGATAGGTTCTGCGACTTTAAGCAAAATAACATGTATGAAACCAATTTTACCATAGGCTAATTGATGGCATCTCATCAACATTATAATGAAACAATGTTGAATGAAACAATGTTATTAGAAGACCTGCTGTGTGTTTGTCAAAACCCATGGACTGTACAACATCAAGAGTAAACCCTAATGCAAACTATGGACTTTGGGTGATTATGACGTGTCACTATAGATTCATTGATTGTAACAAATGTACCACTGTGGTATAGGATGTTGATAATGGGGGAGCCTATGCACGTGTGGGGGCAAGGAATGTACGGGAATTCTCTGTACTTTCCATTACTGTGGGCCTAAAAACATACATAAAACATACATACAGCTCTAAAAACATACATAAAGTCTATTTAAAAAAAGTTTGAACAGGGCCGGCTGAGTGGCGCGATGGTTAAGAACTCGCTTGGGATGCCAGAGGGCCCCGGTTCGGATCCCACATATGAGGGCCAGTGACACTGCCCTCTACA